AGCAGGGGGGCAAGTGGCTCAGGCTACTTGACCTTCCCCATTGCCTGCCTCCCTACTGTCTGCTCCCACTGTCTGCAGCGGTGGCAGGGGGGACGACAACTTTACACTATTACCTCTAATAACTAGATTCTATACATGGAAAATAATAACAAGTTGGTGACATTTCCATGTATAGAATCTAATTATGTGGGGAGGCATCTTAAATTCAGGGTCAACTTGGATTGAGAACTACTCATGGACATTTTGCTGATAATAAATTTTATGATCTAAAAAAACAACATTATTAACATTCGTAGGAGCAGTGAAGAGATTTACCAAATCAACAGGTTTTCACTTGCAAAAATAAAGGTCTTTATTTAGACCTCCTCAAAATGCTAATGTTGTGTTCACAGGAATAAGGTTGAAATGACTCAAATACATCACATACTGTCACAAGACTGTGCAGATTGCTGGATTTTTATTAGACATGCTTGACATCTTTAATGACATTTGGAAATGAAATAAAATATCAGGAAAAAAGTTAAGTAACAAAAATCCCACAAGTGTCAATTTTTCCAGCTATTTACCCGGTCTAATAAAAGATTTCACTTTTACTCAAAGGACCTTGTCTGTCTATGTCCTTAGACCAACATGGCTGCGACCAACACCCCTTGTAATACTGAAAGATCAAATGATCATTTTTGACTTGCTGGCATTTTTAACCTAACAAATAGTGTTAATGCTTCTTTCTGAGAGGTTTGAGCTGCCTGCTGCCAATATATCATTATCTAAGCTCTTTTGCAGTTAATTTTGGATTAATTTCTTTCTGTTGTTCTGGTAGCTTTTGCACACCCGTGCTGGTATGTCAGATAGCTTTAAATCAGATGAAGGTTAACTTAGGTCTGGCTTGAGGGATTTTATGGACCTGAGCAAATAGGAAAATGCTTATTCTAAGTGATTCATACTGAATCCAAGACTGTGACCAATGGACACCGTCATCACCAGCTAAACAGCCCATCAGCAAACTTGGGCTGAACCTTGTTTCAAACTAAACCTTTCCCTTAAGGTACAATTAATTCCTTTATCTTACAAGCCATCACATTATTTCATGTGTTAAAGCACTGGGAGGCCAAACTTTTTGGCAAGTGTGCCATACATTACCACTGCATCCTCCCTGAGTGCCACTCTGACCCACTTCCCTTGCCCAATCTGCTGCTCTGCTTTCTGTTCCCTGCCCTATCTGCCACTGTACTGCTTGCCCTTGTGTGCCACACACAGGCTGCCCATGCCACTTGTGGCATGTATGTTGTAGGTTGGCCATCCTGTTCCAGAGGCATCCTGCCTTAGCTTCTCATGCATCTACTGTCTCCTAGGACTATCCAGCTGCCCTCAAGCAGCAGAGGTGAGAGGGAAAGGTTTCAAGCTATCGAGGCAACACTTGCATCACAAGAAGACAATAAAAGCTGGAAGAACGGGAAGCTTAGGTCTGCTAGGCAGAGAGAAGGTTGTTCCTGGCTTTTGGTTTTCAGGGAACGTATGCAAAACTTGGAGTTACTGATATCAAATTCAATTAAAGCAGATCCCCATGTCTCATGTGGAACTCAGCTGAAACCACATAAAGTATGTCTACTCCATGCTCTGAGAGGGTAGCCTCACTCATGCCCCACTCACCCCTTCTCAGTTACATGTGCCCAAACCAGAAATACAGCTGTGAAGCTGCTTTGGAGGCATCCCTTGCAATTGTTCTCAAGCATGAGAGCAGCCTTCCTAAGAGCACAGGGGTTGCAATGTTGACACACTCAACATGAAAACAGGTTTGTGCAAACCCACATCAATTAAAACAAAGGCAGAGTCACCAGCCCCTCCTTGCAAACTAGACACTACCCACAGCTTAATCCTACACAGTGCAGCTCTGTGCTGCATGCATGAACATATGGTTTAAAATTATGAACAGGAAAGCAAACGTGTTATAGCAGTGAAATGTCTGCTACACTAGTTCTCAGGTAGCTCCTGTCTGTTGGCTAGATTAAGGCCAAAGAGGTAACTGATAAACACCTTCTCAGTATTGTGGGGATTGCACTTCAGCTCCTGTCTCTTACGCTAAATTCTCTCCACACCCTGCTTGGGCAATCTTGTGCCCAAGAGTAAGGAAGGAGACACATCTGGACTCGAGATATACAACTGCTTTGAGAAGCAGCCACACCTAGCTTTTAACCTTAAGCCCACATGCAACCTCCACTCACACTGAAAGTTGGGGAGCAACCACTATTTGCTGCTGCCTGGGTGCAAGCCCAGCAAGGCCTCAACGCCAAGCAGTCGCAGAATATTTTACTGCTCAGATCAATGGCCTGTTCTCTCTGTAGACCAGAGCTGAGCTTGGGTAAAGAGTTTCAACTTTACTCTGCTCCTGTAGCAGTAGCCACATACTTTCTTCATCCTCCTCATCGGTCCGGCTCAGAGTGTCCTGCGAAGCTTGCTGTGAAGGCTCACTGTCCTGCTCCCAGACTGTGCCAGTGCCTGTGTTGGAGCGGGACATGGTAGCAAGGCTCAGGCGGTAGGCAGAGGTGGAGGTGCCTACAGTGCTGATCGAGGTCTTCCCTTGATAGGCTGCACAGATGGGAGAAACCAAGCCCAAGACAGTCAGGATTATGGGGAAAAGGACATTGTTCGAGAAGGGCAAGACCTTTTATTTCAGTTTGGATATATGGGGAAGAAGGGATGAGCAACAGTGGCATGGAAGCACAGTTGACCGCAACAGCTCTGCTATTGAAGCAGGAGTTCAAAGGCAGAGAAAAAGTACGCTGTGCTTACTTGGTGCTAGATCCGTACTGTTGCCCTGGCTCAGCTCACCTGTTCCAGACCTTTGGCTCTCCAAAATTTTCTTAGGTTCCCTGATTTTCTCCCTGAGCCTTATTGCCACTGCCCCAACTTTGTAATTTGTAAAGCAAGGCAAATGTTTATGGCAGGAAGAAAGAAAGGTAAGGTGAGCTAATCCGTTTTCTTTTTAGATTGAAGCTCAGAATATTTGCTATATTGTGTGAGCAAGAGCCGCCCTCTAGCGGCAACAAACTAGAGGAGAAAATGGTCACTATAACATGATGAGGGTGGAGGATGAGGTAGAGGTGGGTATGTGACTGACCTTGTAGAGCCCTGGATCTCAAAACTTTTTAGACTCAAGGCACCCCTCAGAAAAATGCCCACTTCTGGTCTTCACTTAATTTTTTACTACAGAAACCTAATAGAGCCATTCTTCTGCCACAAAGAACTCAGAAAGACCACAATAGGGCAGAATGCTTTTAACACTACAGATTTGTATTTAAAATCTCTGGGTTTATCCTGTGATTCATGTTTGTACACCTAACATTGTGCTAACATTGTGGGCACCCTGCAGCACCCTTGAAAGAATCTCAAGGCATCCTAGGGTGCTGTGACAGCCTGGTTGAGAATCACTAATTTAGAAGTTTGGAGGACTCCAAAATGCTGAACCACCCTTTACTGGAGAAATGAGAAAAAACCAATGCCTGCTACTGAGTAATATGCAAATAATCCTACAAGAGGGGAATTCAGAATACCTAGATCTAAATGAAGTCTGTCACCTGCAAAATGGGAAAGTTACCAGCCCAATGGACACTCAGACAGGTTTAGCCTAGAGCATGGGATGGGCCAGCTAGCTTGACCTGAAAATAGCAGCAGAACCAGGTGAGAGGCTGTGTGCGTGCATGTGTGTGTGCATGCAGATAAGCCTCCTGAAGTTCTAGGATGAAACTCACTTCAGAAATAAACAACATTGCTTGCTGAGGTCAGCATGATACTGTAGCCCAATGCACACCTTCAGATAAGTCCACCCTTCTCCTTCTTTTGCCGCCCCCTCTCCATCCCTGGATGTCCGCACCTGACCCACTGTGCACTGCTTCCTTCAGGATCTTTAGCTCATTGTTGAATTCTGCAATGAGGGAGCTCTTGCACAAAGGGCGTGGGATGAAGCGCCGCTCTAGCTGGTCAGCAATGTGTTGTCGGGCAGTCAGTTCCTCATGATTCTCTGCTGGTTGGGCAAGCAGCTGAGAAAGAGGCATACAGTACAGAGTTAACAACAGAACACTTTGGCATCACAACACTTATCATTACATTTAGCTGGTAAGTGCTCTGATAGCATTAATGGCCATCTAAGACCCCCATGTAACCACCTGAGGCACTGATCTTGAGAACTGATGAAACCCTGCAGTTCCTTCTGAAGTCAGGGCTTTTTTCATTGTTCCTAGGATAAGGCTTAACAATGCAAGATGAAACACCTGCCCACCTTACAAGGAGTTCTCTGTAAGTACATTTAATGCTGGCCCATGAGAAAACCCTGATTTCTGGAATGCCTAAAATTCTATAATTCATTTCTGTCCCATTCTGTAGCAGCGCTGCCACTCAAGAGGATAGTGGAAGCTGAGTTTACAGACAATGTATTTCACTGTACTCTCCATTATTCTTATTCATCAATACTATGAGGCAAATGATCTCAGCCAAATTATCATGGAGGAGGGATGATGAAACTTATTTTGCAGCAACATGCCTGTAACCAAGTGCATGGCTCAGGGCCAGGAGCCCAACTGCTGGGAGTTAATGAGTACTAGCTTGCCTGCTTTGGGGCATGGGGTCACTGACATGGATGACTGTCCAGATCAGAAGAAGTTAAAAGCTCCCAGGGAGCGGAGCTGAGGGAAGACTATGGTGCCAAAGGGGCAACAGAGTCGGGATAGTCTTCTTTAAGACCACGGAAGGACAACGGGTTTGAGTTAACCCTTTGCTGCTTGTTTATGTGTTTCTTTTGTTATGGATGTTGGTCTTCCACTGGGGGCAAGTTTGCCCCAGAGAAAACAAAAACCTGAGTGACAGCATGCTACACATGGTAGAGAACACAAGGATTTTAAAATCCATCATCAGCTATGACTGGGGAGGCAGAGGCTCCAGAAAGGGAGTCAGAGTTTAATATGATCTGGCCCCCCATCCAAAAGAAGTCGAGGGTCAGGGAACCCATTGGGAGGGTGGGCTGGGTTAGGTTGGGGAAGGCCAAGATTTCATCTGGGATTGAAGGGAGGATCCAGTATATGCCCTTCTGTATGGCCAGTTGGGACAGGCCAATGGGACCATAGTAGATACAAAATTAGCAATCCAGGAACCCCATTTTGAGTTGTAGGGGGGACCACCTAATAAGTGTGGCCACAAACAAGGTCAGAGGGGCCTAGCGGTCCCAACTTTTGGTCCTGAAACAATACTGAGTCCAGGTTTTGAAACTGGCATATAATGTAGCTTTTGGGGGGGCACTATTTTGGGGTGGAAAAGACCTAGGATAGAGTGCTGGTGAGGTTTTTTTGGCCTGGTATATACCAGGAAATCAAAGATTATTGTACATCCTGCCCAAAGTACCAGCGGGTTGCCCTCCAGTTCACTCATAAGGCCCCACTGAAGCCTGTCCCACTGGTTGGCATACCCTCTTTCACAGTCATCCACAGGCTTTTCACCCTTTGAATTACTATATAGCAGGCAGCCCTGGGGAGTGTTAGATCTCCTGGCAGGCCCAGGGGACAGTGACACAAAACATATTTCAGCATATGTTGAAACTACAGGAAAGGTTAGCCCTGGCATGACTCCTCACAAAGAAAAATCTCAAAGCAGCCCAGCAAGAGCAAGAACAGCAATATAATAAAAATGCTCAGCTCCATGTCTACCGGCTAGGGGATTAAGTCCTACTGATATTCCCCTCCTCCAAGAATATGTTACTGGCAAAGTGGCAAGGACCTTTTGAGGTCCTGCAGAGGGTAGGCCAGGTAAATTATGAGGTTTGCTGGGAGGAGAAATGGCATGGTTCACAGATATACCATGTTAACCTGTTAAAACCCTGGAAGGCCTGAGGGGTCTGTCTGAGCTCTACATGTCTACTGGAAACTGGTTTGGATGTTTTGGATGCCCTCCTGGATCCAGCAGCAGGCCTCAAGCTAGGGAAGACTTTGACCCTGACTCAATGGGTTGAAATAAAGAGCCTCCAGGCTGTGCAATTTAAAAGGGACACTTGAGAGTTCCAGCTGACTGTGGTAAGTGGTGAAACAAGAAATTAAGAAGATGTTGGACTTAGGACTAGTAGAGGAATTGGCCAGTGAGTGTACTAGTACAATTGTGTTGGTGTCAAAACCTGACCACATCATCTGATTTTGTATTGACTTCTGCAAAGTCAACACAGTTTCAAAATGTGACGTGTAACCTATGACCAGAATAAATTAAATGGTGGAGATAATAGGTAATGCAAAGTACATAACCACCTTGGACTTGACCAAGGGATACTGGCAAAATCCTTGGGACCCAGCTTCTTGAAAAATCATGGCCTTTGCAACATCCTGAGGGCTCTACCCATTTAAGACATTACCTTTCCATTTACATGGAGCCCCAGCAACCTTCCAACGTTTGATGGACAAAATACTCTGCCTACATCAGGCAGGCATATGCAGCTGCCTGTATATCAACACGTGGGCGGACCACCACCAGCAGGTGAAAGAAGAGTTGCAGGTGATAACGAGTAGCTGGTCTAACAATTAACAGAGTTAAGTGTCACCTGGAGTATATAGACTGTGATATATATTGGGCAATGGTAAAATTAGGCCCCTTGTAGACAAAGCAGAGGCCTGGTGGAAACACTGGTGCCAAGAACCCAGAAGCAAATATAGTCATTTCTGGGACTGGCCAGCTACTATCAGCAATTCATTCCACAATTTGCAGCCACTACAGCCCCACTGGCTGACCTGCTGAGGAAAGAATTCAGTGGTCACCCAAATGTGAGATAGCATTTGGGGCAGTAAAATGGCTTCTATGCAGTCCTATGCAGCCCAGACTTAACAAAAGAGTTTATATCACAGACCAGTGCCTCAGAGTGAGGCCAGGGAATGGCCCTCTCCCAGGAGTCTGAGGATGGATAACACCCATGCTGTATTTCACTAGGAAACTCCTTCCCTGAGACCAGACATATGCCATCACAGAAAACGAGTGCCTGGTGATTAAGTGGACAGTTAAGGCCCTGTACTACTACCTCCTAGGGGCCTGGTTTCATTTAGTCACTGACCACGCCCCTTTAATAAGGCTTAACACCAGGCAGGAGGCTAAGCCCCAGTTGACAAGATGGTACCTGCCTATACAACTTTTCAGTTTCTTGATACATCACTGCCTTGGGTCAGCACACACAAATGCAGACTTCTTTTCCCAAGAGGGGGGCTGGGGATTGAGGAAAGGGGAAGAGTGTATCCTGGGATCCACTCTTGGGAGGGGGGATGTGTAACTGGGTGCATGGCTCAAGGATGGGAGCCCCGCTGTGGGGGGTTAACGAGTAATAGTCTGCCTTCTCAAGGGCACGGGGCCAGCTGACGGGGATGACTGTCTGGCCAATAGGGCATTAAGAGCTCCCAGGGAGGGATGCTGAGGGAGGGAAGACTATGCTGCCAAGGGGGCAGCACAGAGTCAAAATAGCCCTCTCCAGGTCTGAGGAGGGACCACAGGTATGAGGCTAGTCTATGAGTTTGTTTTGTTATGGACGTAGGTCATCTTGTGGGGACAAGTTTGCCCCAAGGAAAATAAAAAAGATGTGTGATAACCCACTACAATGCCATATTACAATCAGTAGCTTCTCGGATCAGCTGGATTAGAACTACTATAATTATCACTCAGTCTTTGTATTGCCCAATGACAAGCTGTTTGGATGAAAGATCCTTAGTTGCAAGAGGTCCTGTATACAGGTTCATTAGAGAGTCATGACTTCTAAAATGTCAGTCCTTCTACAAATGTTAAGAGTGCAATTTCCCCAAGCCTCTGTCACATTCTCCTTTGCAAGGCACTCTGGGATATCCTGCCTAAAAGCATTATTATTTAACAAAGAAACTGACACTAGGACTAAGGGTGGTATTACCTTGCACTGAATGAAGGGCCGCAGGAGCACAAAGATTGGGATACGGGTCCGAACGATGAAATCAAGGAAATCCCACAGGGCAAGCCCGCCCACTTTCCGCAAGGCCATCTCTTTGACTTGTAGGCTCAGCCAGTACCACTGGCTGCCAAGCTGGCGCTCAAAGCAAACAAGAATCACTTTCAGGGCTAAAAAGAAACAAAACCCAGTACACATCAAGTGTTGTGGAGTCAGAGTTGCTTACATCATCCTGTAAAGACATTTTTGGACTGGAGGGTTGGGTGCAGTACAGAGTAGTAGGGTAGTCTTAGTTTAAACAAAAGGCTCAGTCAGGAATCATGGATACCTTTCCCAGCATCTTCCAGTGAATCCCTGGAAGGTTTTCCTACCATCCACCTATGTCTTTTACACTTCAGTGACTTCTTCCTTATTCTGAAATGTTAATCTCTACACAAGCAGTCCAGTGTACCTAGAAGGGGAGTCACTATGTGACTTGTAAAGTGTTTCTTCTAGGCCATTCATGGGGCAAGAAAGAGGGACCTTACAGTACCAAATGAAATATGAAGTGTTTGATCAAGCCAAGTACCACAGTCCACTAATATAACTCACTAATCCTGTGAATGGACAAAATTAGACACAAAATTATGCTGCTTATTAAAAATTAGATTGTGACTTAGATTATATGCCCATTCAAAGAAGTATGAATCCCCTATGCATGTCTCATTAGGTAGTTTGAACCTTGGATCCAGGGAAATGGAAATAAGGAGAGAAGAGCTAGCAAAATAGGTAGAGCCTTGACTCTATCTTCCTCTACTGGTTTGCCAAAGGCTGGAACAGACAACATGTTTATACTGGTTTAATTGACATCATACCAATATAAAAATGTTGTAAACAGATAATACCCCCTAAACTCAGATAAATTTGCCTAAACTAGGGAAGAATTAGCCCTGAAAGAATCAAAGCAAAATTCCATCAGAATAAAACAGTGGATTAGATTTTGTCTGTCCATTTTATTATGGCTCAGCCAGTACCACTGGCAGCCATTTTATTGTGGCTATTTTGTTGTGGCAAACAAATGGTCATTTGCTCTCCTGCACCTAATGGGGAGGTGCAGTAACAGCTGTGACCTACATGCTGCCACCACAGGATAGTGGTATATCTGTCTGGTCCAGTGTCATTTAAATAGCTATAAAAAACTGCTCTAAATTACACTGAAGTATGTTTGTCTATGTCCCAAGAGTCACTGAGCCAGTGGGCGCAGCTGTGGAGAGAGGTCTGTGTAGTAATAAGGTATAGGTCAATAGCAAGTTATTACCTTCTACAGAAAACACTGAACAGGAGGAACTGTCAAGCAGTAAAGTGTCTCTTAGGCTAGAAACAGGCGTCTCTGAATAAAGCAGCACAGCTGATCTGCTTCATTGGGTGAAACACATGTTGCCCCTTGATGATGCAGCACAAAGGGCGATGTGATCTCTCTGCTTTCCCCACTCAGCCAGACCAGTTCTGTGTTCACGGGGATAGACCTGGCTGAGCAGAGAACCCCAACTTCCCTGGTTCTGCTGAGGCACCCCAGATTCCCTGGGGTACCTCTATAACCAAGGAAAGCAGGCAGGTGCTCTGGAGGCTCAAGGAGTCCATGTGTGCTATGCTTGCAGATGGTAGGATTCGGAATGACAGCCAACATGGCTTTGTCACACACAGGTCTTGTCTTACCGATCTCATCTCCTTCTATGACCAGGTAACTTGCCACCTGGATAAGAGAGAGGAGGTCAACATTGTATACTTAGACTTCCAAAAGGCCTTGATTTGGTATCCCAGGATGTTCTCATGGGAAAACTGGAGGATTGCAGGCTTAACTGCTCAACAGTCAGGTGGGTAGGAAACTGGCTGCAGGTAGGACCCAGAGAGTTCTAATGAATGGATCTGTGTCGTCCTGGCAAGAAGTGGCCAGTGCTGTCCCTCAGGGGTCCGTGCCTGGTCCAGTGCTTTTCAACATCTTTATCAATGATTTAGGTGTGTGGTTGTGTGGGGTTGTTCGCACTGGCCAAGTTCGCAGACAACACCAAGTTATGGGGGAGTGTGGTCACGCTTGAAAACAGGCTGCGGATACAAGCAGACCTAGACAGGTAGGTAGACCTAGGCTTCCAGGTTGGGCGGACCGGAACCAGATGAAGTTCAACACTGAGACGTGTAAAGTGCTCCATCTGGGGATGAACAATCCCCAACATACTTACAGGCTCAGTGGTGCTGAACTGACTAGCACCACAACTGTAAGGGACCTAGGCTCATGTTCATACTAATATAGACCATAGTAAAAACGTAAGTCGTTAGTGTGATACTGTAGCCAGCAGGGCAAACAATACTCTGGTATGCATCAACCAGTGCATTTCCAGCAAAACCAAGGAAGTGATACTTCCACTGTACTCAGCACCAGTGAGACTGCAGCTGGAGTACTGCGTCCAGTTCTGGGCACCGCACTTCAACAAGGATGTGGAAAAACTTGAGATAGTCCAAAAAAAATCCCCCCATATTAGCAAAGACTTGCAGGGCAAGCCATACAAGGAAAGGCTGAGGGAGATGGGTCTCTTCAACCTAAAAAAGAGAAGGCAGAGAAGGGACTTGGTAGCACCTTACTGCTATATCAGGGGAATACATCAAGGGCTCGGCGAACAACTGTTCACCAGGGCACCCTTGGGGAAAACCAGGAGTAATGACCACAAATTCCTGGAAGACCATTTCAGGCTTAACACTAGGAAAAACTTCTTCACAGTTAGGGTGTCCAGACTGTGAAATAAACTCCCTCCAGAAATGGTTGCAATCACCTACTCTGGAAATCTTCAAGAAAAGCCTGGACAGTCACCTTGCCCACCTAGTGCAGGGGGGCTGCATCCGATGATCTCGCAAGATCTATGAATCTGTCTGTGAATCTATAATGGACTTCTGCCACAGTAAAGTGGCAGAGTCCATCACTACCTGCTGTTGAGCCACTGATTTTCCTTTGGGCTAAGTACAGACAGTCAAAAATTCTGAGGCTGAATTTTTTCAGTCTTTGCAGGTTAGTCTGAACTCTGTAGATAAGTGAATGAATAGAAATTTTCTTTTGATTCTGGAAATGCAGCTACATGTCTGCAGTGGTGCAGGCCAGAAGCCAGGAGGTGTTAGAGCAGGCCTCCTTGCTTGGCTGGAGCAGACAGCTTGGGCCAAGGCTAACTCACCCACCCTGTAAGTGGAGGCTTTTTGGGGAGGTAGAAAGCATCCTGGGATGCTGGAAGACTGAGAGTTAACTTGAATCTGGAGGGGATCTCAGACAGAAGTTTATTGCTTCTAGGCCTTTCGGCTCAGATCAAGTGTAGTTCTTGGTTTCTTGTGGACTAAGATGAAGTGGAGATATCCAAATCCCAAGACCTCCAGGCTTGGGCCTGGACAAAGGATGCCTGCCAATGGATTTGGGAGTATCTGAAGTCCCAGGGTAAGAGCCTGGGATGGGATGGTTTGCCAATTGTAGCACCAGACATGGTGTTTAGAACAATTGAGTTCTGCCTGCTCAATTGATATGGTTTTTGGAACAACTGAGTTCTGCTCAATCAATATGATTTGGAACTGATTTAGTTGATTTGACCTGGAACATGAAATATATTAATAAAAAAACCCAAACCAATAAACCAATTTAAACTAAATCAGTACAGTCTGATATCACATCCATCCAGATTTATCTTAAACTACTTTTGGCCATTTTGAAAGTGGTTTATGTGCACTGAACTTCTGTTGTGTTACAGATTTGAAATGGTTTCAGATCACTTATATCAGTTTATTGTAACATCTGTCCCTGACCTTGATGTGGCATGACAAACAGTAGCAACAATCTATTCACACATCATTTGTGCAACCATAAACATTTTTATGGCATCACAAATGAGATGCCAGGTGACATCTGTTTCCACCCTTAGCTCCCTCCACTTCAGTCACATGGCATGACTGCAGCATGCATTGACTATAACCTAGCTGCTTTGGGTACCATGTGTACTGAAGCTCGATGAATTGAGTCTGCTGGAGTGTGGTAACTACCTCACTCCAGCAGACTCCCGCATCACATGTATCAGCATCTTTGCACTGAAAAATGGCGGTGGGGGAACTTTAACTAAAGCTCTTCAAACACACTTTAGTTAAAGCATCCCCGCCACCATTTTTCAGAACAAAGATGCTGATACACATGACTCTCTGGGCACTTTAATTACAGCAGCTCTTGGAGCCTCTCTAATTATAGGCCACCCTCTTCCCTTCCCCTTCCCCCCAATCCCCTGGAGCACATGTATAACTGTCCTGAGATGCCAAAGGATTCTGTGCAAGATGTACAAACCTGCTTAGGACAATGGTCACTGTAGCTTCACTGCTATTGGCACCCAACCTGGCTATGTTTAAATTAACTTGGGTCTATCTAAACATATTGTGGTAACACCTCTATCTGCCTTGAGATAGCACTGTCATTCTGGCTATTTCTGGTGTAGTTCACTCTGTGCACTACCCCTTCCTCTTGGCCTCACCTGAAACAGCTGTAAGTAGTTCAGTTAACTTGAGCCTGTCAGGATTTTCTCTCCCTCCATCGTGGCTTTACATGGTGTCCTGAATGCCCTTCCCCCTTTTGCTGTTGTTTTCTTTTCGTTAGGGAATGGGAACTTTACTCACCCAAGTAAGCTGCCTGGCTGGTGGACTCTGCAAGTCCCTCCCTGCGCAGATCCTTCCCAGCATCCCCGGGGGTGGAGCAGTGTGCAGGAGAACTCTCCAGCATGAAGTTCTTGCTGCGGGATGTGCTAATGATGCGAGGTGGTAGGAGGATATTAATAACAGTCTGGAGCAGCAGCAGGACTTCAGGCTGCTCCAGCCACGGGCTGTCTGTAGTGCATGGAGAGGGGTGGCAGAAAGGGGACAGAAAGAAAATGCATCAGGCCACATTCTATCGAAGTTGCACAAAAGACTCAGTTCCAAACTCATCCCTTCCACCAAACTCATCCCCTACCTTGTTCTCCTCCTGTGAGCAAAGGCAAAGTTATTTTAGCACCAACGCACACAGCAGCATGGCACAATTAAAGATCTCAATCTTTGAGCAAAATGATCTCATCTCCCTTTCCCTCCACCCTCATTCTCTGTTTTCACCAGATAACAGGCATGGAATTTGGTGGCAAGCAATCAGTGGTGACCCAGAATCACTGGGCCCCTCCATCCTTTCTACCCCATTAACTCTGGGACACACTACAGAGGAATTTGTCTTCTCCAGCACACTCCTTGTCAGGTTACCTATTTCAAAAGGAGGAGTGCATTTGTTAAAGAGTGAATTCAAGAATGACTGATCTCTGACACAGTTGAAATGGAAACGAGAAACAGCAGCTCACACTGAAGGCTTTTCAATCTTCCCAATGAATTCTAATGGCATATTACCAGGGACAGGAAGCCAAATGAAAAGCAAGAGAGTAGGAAAGTGGAAACATTTGTTGTTCGAAGGGGGAAGAAAAAGAAAATTTTTTTGTTAAATTAATCAGACCTTTGCTTCCAGATCCTACTGTGAGGACAAATGGAATCAGTAGGTTTAAAAGCATTCCTTCCCTTCTCTCCTGATTGGTGAATGGGGAGATCACATGGCTTAGGGGAAAATCTTCTTTCAAAGCCTGTGCAGTAATAATAAGAAAGGATTAAACATTTTCATCAGCCATTTAAAAGTATATACACTGTAGGGAATGATGATCCCCATACACTTGTTTTTAAAAACAACACAATACAGCTGTTGGCCCTATTAACTTACAAATTCTGAGTGTACCTATATGAGGGAAGAGAATCGAAGAGTAATCTAAATTTCATCTGCTTTAGCATAATCACATGATAAAGGGCCAGATTCCAATCTCATTTATACTGTTGTAATTCCAGTTGAATCCCCCTGGAGTGTATGTGCTGTTTATTCCATTTTGATCCTGATATAAACAAGATTAGCATGTGGCCCAAACTACCTAAAAAAAAAAAAAAGAGCAGAGAAAGTTACAGGAGCTACCCATTTATTAAATGTGGAGGTTATTCCACTTTTCCCTGGGCCCCAAGTCCCTAACTTTATGGTGACCTTCTTTCCTGTAAATGAATAAAATGCACACTTAGTTGCATCTCAACAGTTATTCCAGCCTGGAAAAAATGTCCTTTCACCATGAACAGATTCTTCTCCATGTCGGAAGTAATAGTGGTGAAAGGAACTACTGTTAGGCAATGACTGAGTGTTCAAAGCTTGAATAGAGCCTTTAAATAGTTGACTACTTAGATATAAGCTGAAAATGACCTTTAGAGACACTTCAATATGCATATGTGGGCTGGAGATCCCAAGAGAAGAGGTTTCCTTATGGGACTGTCAGCTTGTTGGAAATACTAAAGGAATGACTTTTCTGGTGATAGTGTGGCATTTCCGGTTTTGATCCTATTTGAAACCCATGAAAAGCACATAAAAAAGGGGATAAAGCATGTGAAAACTCCCTGTTAAAAACCCTAAAATTAACGGTTCATTTGGAGTCTGGATTTAAATCTGAACAAAGATTTGAGGTGGAGCTAGCTGAGGGTCATTTTTTATTTTTATTAGAAGTGATCTCTCATTGTTGAAAGAAGCATGCAGTGTCTCTGCACCAATCAGTGTCGATGTTCATCTCCAGGATGAGCTCTCCTGTTTCATTCTGACAGAACAGTGCAGTGTTTTGATCTCTTGACCCGGTAACTTTCTTTCCCATGCTCTGAAAGACCTGTTCAAGTGCTCAACTTGATGATGGATGTGCTGCTCATTGGTTAATTAAAAACAGAAATACAGATTAAGGACAGGAAACTTGCACTTTCATTCTGCCCCATGGTTGCTCTTTGTCACCTTTGGCTTTGTGCCAAGGAGAAATAAAGGAGATGTAGGCAGAAAGAGTCCATATGCACCTGGGACGGCTGCCTTCAAACTCATTTAAAAAATCTACAGTTGTCCAAAATAGTAAATATAAGGTGCTACTCTGAAAAGGAATATACTTATGAAATTCCTCCCATTGAGGTCACCATGCATTCACTGTTCTGGATAATCAAGGATGGTAGTTGGTAAGCAGTTTACAGGTCAAACATCTATTGGTATCTGAGCTTTTTTCTCTTCTCTGTTTGTGCAAACAGTACCAGTTTAGCACTGGCTTAAAATAGGACCAAACTCATGCTCAGTAAAGTCCAGGCACCCCATGGAGTTTGGTGAGACTGCATGGGTGTGACCTAAGAAAGGATTTTTCTCATCATTTACAATCTTGAGAAGACTCCTAAAATGCTGTGCTGGATCTGCAGCAAGTGCAAATCAACATAGCTCCATTGACTTCAATGGGGTTCGGCTGACTGACACCAACTCCAGATCTAGTCCATTGTTGAGATCTGAACTCAGTCCTGATGTTCCAAATCCCTACAGTTCGGGGAGAGTTTACATTTTGTTCCACAGTTTTTGCCCAGCTTTCGCAGAAAAAAAGAGCACCTATGAATTGGTGTCTCAACCACAAGCTAAACAGGCCTGATAACAGGCAAGGCAGGCACACCTGTATTTGCAATGCTACAAGCCGGACAACAGCTGTGCTGAAGGGCAGAGGTGGCGAGAGATAAGGGCTGAGATGAAGAAGGGGTAATCCATCAGCAACACTGGAAGGTCCTACCACTCCCATCACCTGCAATACAAACAGAGCACATCACCAGTACTGACTACTGCAGTTCCATCCATGCCATACCCTCCAACCTCTATGAAAGAGAAACAGGTACATATCAGACAGCATGAGACTGGGGTGCTCTTCAAGAGAGAGTATCCCATAATGCCTTGCACTAGCTAGGGCCAGTGAGGAGAAGGGGTGGTTCTACCATGGAAGGAAGGGAAGGAGAGGGAACTTCTACAGGGGAAGCCAGGAGGATGGACAAAGTGCATAGGGAAACTGGTACATTTATTAATGTACCCAGTAGCAGGCCTGAATGACCAGCACTTGACTGGGAGAATAGATAGAGTTGGAGGGTATGCCATGTAGCTATTGTATTAAAAAAATGTAATAAAAGCAGGAGGTTTGTATTTAACTTCTAATCCTTCTCCTCCTCTTCCTAACTTCTTGGAAAAATAATGTCCTGAGTCTGATCCAATCCAAGTTTTGTACAATGTTCAGTCTCCCCTCAGGCACAGCATGTTGTAAGGTACTAAAAGTTAAATGGGGGAGGAGAAGATGGGGGGAGATCAATATTCAATCCCAGAGTTAGACTTTAAAAAGTCAGACTTACATTTAGAGGAAAAAGCCTACTGTTTTCATAGAAAGATTTTCCCATTTTCCTGGCCACTGTTTTTTGTTTGTTTTGTTTTTTTGTGGGTTGCTACTAAAAGAGTTTCACAGGGCACATCTACACAAGACACTTACTGCGCAGTAGCCTAATAACACTGTGCAATAGGGTGCCAGTCAAAGCGTATGCTAATAAGCTACAGCACAGTGTTATTAGACTACACAGTAATGGTCACAAAAATACCATGTGCTGGTGCTACTGCACAGTAACTGTACTTACTGTGCATTTAATTAGTAATTCATTAAGAAAATACTAAACTAAATGAGTCATAACTACTGTACATTAGTGAAGGTGTAGATGTGTCCACAGAGAGCTTGTCTGCACAAGGGAGCAACTGTGAAGCATACTAGGATGTGGCTTCATAGTACACTAGCTACTCCATGCTAACTCACACTTACTGCATGATAAGTGTCCACACAGGAAGTCAACAGGGAATAGTCAATATGCTATGAATTCATGCTATTAAATTAGTTTGTAGGAACCTCCCTGTATAGACAAGGTCTGAGCAGTCTGAAGCCTCACAGTTTCAACACTGTGCGTCAAACAGCCATTGATCAATTATTGTTATCATGACAACACAGAAGTCACTTGGACCCCAGCAACCAGTTGGAGTTCCCATACCATTGTGTTGTGTATGAATGCTGTACAAAGACAGAGAGAAATATTGATGAATGTCAACAGCACTTTCTAATTAAAAACGGGATTACTTTTTAAGCTTTTTGGAATAATCAACATCGTCAGCTTTCTTTTCCGTAGCCCTGAAAATAGCATCTAAACAATTTCATTTTTTATAATAAAATAGTTTTTAATAAAAGTGCTACTGCATTTTTTTTCCCAATATTTGTATTTTTTGTACTACAAGTTAATTGGTTCACAATCCCATAGCTCCTTTGGCTTCAAGGTGAGCATCTGGCACTCTGTCCCTTCATATTATAATCTCAAAAGCAAGTTCATACTTAGCTGTTTTCTGTCATTACTGAATAGTCATACAAGCTGAGTTCTGCCTATACAGGTTTCCCTCACTTTATGCAGGTCCTGTATGTGCAAATTCGCTCTTTTGTGATGACCTGTTTTATACCAAAAATTTGTTATATGCAAGGTAAATTCACTCTTATGTGATCAGTGTGGCAGAAGCCCACAGTCAGCTGCTTTGTGTGGTACATTGTGAGAGTGACATGCACCAAAATATAGTCTCGTGTGTGGATCTGTGCTCCTCGCTCGTTGTCTGTGACACGTGTTTCTGTAGTCGCCATCCCCATGATGTTAGTGCCCTGTGCTTGTGTGTACTGTCTGCTGTTGGTGAGTACTAAAATTGTCTTGTAAAAGTGGTAGAAATGGGTGTGGGGGTCAGTACAGTCAAGGTCTTGGAACATATCCCTATTTGTTACATTGTAAAGTGGGTTCCCTTTATGCAAATTCGAGTTATGTCCCATTTTCTAGGAACGCATGTACAGCATAAAGTGAGGGAAACCTGTACTGTCTCTCTAGTCACATTCATACAGGAGTTACAACTATTTAGATTCAAGACACACATCAACAATATATTCTATTGGTTAAGGATGGGATCTGAACATTGTACAATGGAAACCTGCACTAAATCAAACCAGGGACATTGCAAATCTCAGAGTGAATCCACTTGTGTAAATCTTCTAATTAGCCAAGTAATTGACAAAATGATAGCTTCCTCCACAGCAGGAGACCCTTTCACTGTCCCCAGGCCCACTCTCCCCTCTACCAGGTGCGTGCAGGCTCCACCACCCCACTCTCCAACTTGCAGCCCTCAACTCTCAGCGCATCATGCAGAGGGAGATTTTCAAAGTGGTGTGTGGGAAGTAACATAAATAAATCGACTGACCACAGTTATCGGTCCCTGTATCTTCCCATGCACCACTTTGAAAATGTACCTCACTGTCTCTAGTGGCACCTACAAAGTCACAGGGTGGGGGATAAGTGACAGGAAAAGGGATCAACTGCAATCTTCAGTCCAGAGAAGTCAACAGAAGAATGAAGTTTAGCAAAGTTTCATAAGATTGCCACTTGGCTACTCACCAGATTGACACAGACATTGATCAGTGACCTAAGGTGAGGCAGGAAGGATATGATTGGCTGCCTCTGAAGTGTCAAACAAACCCCTTCAATCAAATTGCTGGCAGGCTCCCACTCAACCTGTCGCCTGGAATACAACAGTAGGTGCTGTTAGCTGGTTGACTCCCTTCACAGACACTCCGAAACAAGGAGACTGATACATGGTGACTCCAACAAGGAACGTGTAAGACAGCAACGACGTCCAAGATGACAACAACAAAGTGTGTTACAGGGGAAGACTTTTACCCCTGCTGTTCAAAAAGCACAGAGCACACCAAGAGTTAGAGAGGCAGTTGAGAACTCAGCAGAGGCATTCCTGCCTCGCTGGACTGGTGACACGCAACCCGTCACAAACAACAACAGAGAAAAAGAGAGAGAGGATGGATGGATGGGGCTTCACTGCCTGACTTGGCCTCTTTAAAAGAGGTCTTGAGGGTGAAGCTGAGGAAATCCAATAGACAGCCATCTCAGATGAACCTGCAGAATGAGACAGAGCTGACTGTTTTATGTTTCGGGAAGCTGCACTGCACTTCTGTGGTGGAGAGATTCATTCCACTCTGGCTCATGGAATCACTGTTTCCCTAGTGCAGGCATCACCATGCAAACTTGAGTGGAGTGCATCCTGTACTTATGGCAACATCCGCTCCCATTACAGCTCAGCCTAGTCTCTTATACATTAATGACTCCCAGTGGGAGTGAGTCCAGAGCACAAACCAGCCCAGTATTACAGACTTAACCTTCACCATCCCTGTCAGGACAGCTGGGTCACTCCCTTCCAGCATCAGTATCTTTCACTTCCAAAAGGTCTTCACTCTCTAAAAGGCCTCAATCTTTAAAGCAATTCCAGTTCCTGTAAAGGATGGCATACGGAAAGCCCTAGAGATGCAAGTCTTATTTTATCTGCAAGCAGATACAACACAGGTTGCATTAAAGTGCTTTCCCCACTTCCAATCTCACGGAGCTTCTGCTTTGGGCGAGAAACTTCCCAGGTCTGTGTGGTGCCTCACAGTAACCTAGATGCTGGGGAGAAGAGTGAGGCAGGCATGTACTTGCTAGAGGGCTTAGTGCTCTACTCTTCTATTAGTCGCACTCCACAATAAACTCTCTAGAAGGCTTCTTAGCACAAAGAGTGCCTGATACCATAACAGAGACAGTACCTGGACACACGTCCCCTGTCAGTCTGCCTGCTGTTCTCAATCAGTTATGCCCAAGAACCCCAAATGCTTGCACCTTTACATATGCCATACTCATAACAAGCCCCAGATTTTGAGTTAGGCACCTGGGGAGACTGAAAACCTAGAGATGTCAAATGAGTTCCAGTGTTTCAAGTAGGCAGCTCCTTAAAGAGCCAGTGTTTGTGCTGGATCCCTATTTGCAACCCTGCTCAACACTTAGTAGCTTCCTGGAGCTGGTTCATGCATTTGGATCAGTGACTCAGTAGCCTCTGTACCTGGTTTATAAGAAAGAGCAATAATGGCTAGGTGGCTTTGTGGAGGTGCAGGTGATGTTACATGGACAATATAACAGGGGTTCCAGGAGATGAGCAACCTGTGAACAGGTTAAAAAAAGAGGAAGGGTTTTTAGAAATTGTCTGGAAGATTCTTTGGGACTGAGGTGAAGAAAACGTGATCCAAAAAAGGCAGGGAAGATACAGTAACGAGAAGCACCAACAAGAAAGGGGAGCAGGAAAACTGTTCCCCCCTACAGGCTACCTGACTCTTAGTTGTTTTAATGAAGGGGAATGCAGCTGGAGGCAAAAGGAGGAAGGGGCAGGAGAAAGAGACTGTTTCCCCATGATTCACCCCATCTCAGTTCAGTGTGTGAATTTCAGTCCCCAAACCCTTCAGTCTTTGGCCTCCCAGCTGAGACTGACAATAGGGTTAGCAACTAAAGCCAGCTGTCCTGAAGGTTTCTGCAATATGGAAATTTTCCATAGAGAAGTGCACTGAGACCACCAAGTCCTTTCACATGGGCCACCAAAAAGCCAGAAGATGGGTATTTTTATACCACCGATATGTACTGGTTGGTCACCTGTCAGTGACTCAGAGACTAAGAAATCCCATACTTAATTACTATTCCATGAAGCCTCCTTCCCCTTCCCACATTACTTCATTGGTTGTCACCACCTGAAGGAGATTCATTTGCTCAGCTCATGTCTTCTACATTCAGGAGCACTTGGATGTAATCATCATTCCAAACTATTTTTATTTTTTTCACAGAGCATTTCAATATTTGTATCATAGTAATGCACTGTATAAATACCCTTACCAATAATTTGACTTTATTTTTTAAAACAACAAAACACTAAATTAAGAGAGATCATGAAATTCTTTATAGCCTGAAGACTTTGGGGGAGAGGGAAGAGTTTGATCTCCTTGAATTCGATTTGTAATTCTTAATGAAATATGCATTTCCTCTATTGCAGACTGGAAGCTGGCACCCGAAAAACATGACATACACATACACCAACAGGAGAATTTTTTTTTTGCTGGGATTCAATACAGGTAAAATGCAGGTAAAATGACATACCATTACTTGGTATGCAGGTAAAATGCAGGTAAAATGACATACCATTACTTCAAGGCGTGCAACATCAGAAATGGACCCAAAGGTTTCCATTATACCTGCTCACCTCAAAGTAGGCATCTTGTGAATTTTATTGAACATACGATCCAGTCTCTTTAAGATGAGGATAAGGGCAGGTCTCACGGCCTCAGCTGTCCAATCTGTGATGGGCAGCATCTCCATGATGTAGCGCCGGAGCCCACGGCTTTCCATCGTCTGGGTGTCATAAGGTGCCAGCTTCAGAAGGGAATGTGCAATTTCTGCCAACCTAAAATTATGGCTCATTAAGAGGGAAATCAGATATTCTACAACATAAACTTGTCTGTAGACCACAACTACAAACTGCATGGTAGAGGAATCACCAGCCTTTTAATAGAAGGACATCTGCTCTAATAGTACTGCTATTTACATTCTCAAGTTAAATCAGAAGAAATTCCAAGTCCAGTAAGAGACTTTTGATGGGATCAGAATGTGTGTACATAGGTGTATGGTGTATAGTGAATACATAAGCATGTATATACTTATGTGGATGCTAAACCGGTAAATTGTACCAAAAGGCACATTAGGAAGCACTGCTTTACATTATTAAAATCATCATGGCACAGTATCTTTTTCAGCTATTAATAGTGTGAGCATCAGCAGTGTCAGAGAAGGGTTTCTGGTAACAGGCAGCAATCATTTAAAACATGTCATTAACCTTGAGTGGCTTCTCTTTGTCTTTTTTATAATGTTACCAGATCAATACCAGGGATTTTTAGTCTCTGTGCACAACTTTTTCACATTTAATTGTTAAAAACAGCATGCACTTCCCACTGGTGTATATATATATATATAGCTTGTGCTGTTTATGGGTATTTCTCCTTACATTCTTCATTTTGCTTCTCCCCATTGCTTCATTTTTTCCCTCTTTCCTTTTTTTTTTTTTTTTTTGGTTCTCACTGAGAGTTTTCTAGATCAACTTTCTAAGGCCTGGCAGCATTCAGCTTCTACACAGAGTATGGGAAATGGTTAATCAGACGCTTGAAGACTTCCTGTGATGTTTTTCACTGAATAAAAAAATGAAAGCGTCCCGGCTCTGTGTGGCACCCACAGCTGGGAGCCCTGTGTGGCATGGCAGGAGGTGCAATTGTCTGGATCATGCATTAGATCCAATTGCCTGCATGTGTAGTGGGGGCCATAGTCAAGGGGGGAAGCTTCTTCTGAAACACCTTCCATTAATGGATAATGTATGACTTCAAGCATGCAAATTTATACACTTTCTAATATATTTTTAATGAATTTAATCTAACTGTGTTTGGGGATGATCTCATCATCCATATAAATACCAGCTCTTTATAGAATCCCAATAGAATCTTGACCTTAGTGATATCTTGTGTCAGTGCTCTGACACAGGTTAATTGTAAAGAGTGTAAAAAAAATGTTTCCTTTTAGCTCTCATACAGCTCTGATGTCACGTTAAAACATTAACTTTTTTTTAAACATCACAGCATATTGATGATTTTTTCATTATTATGTAAGTCAAAACACAAGAACAAAGTCTCCACCACTATTATACAATGATGAGCAAAAATGTTCTTTTGGTTTACAAATTGTGGAAGTTCTTTACGTACTATGGTGCTTTCTGAAGCTCTGGGAATCACTTTACCCCACAAGTTATACAGTGAAAGCTCAGCCCATGAGCCTTTATATTTGCCAGTAGCCATGAGAAGACCTAATTATTTTGGTAAAGACAAGCAAGACCAGGTCCCAAGACTTTTTTTTAATCCGGCTATGTTAGTTACTCTTTCTTCTGTTCCGAATAAGATCATATTCTTTTTATTTCATATCTTATTTGATAACTATGAAATCTTCTGCTCCTACTTGCTAACACAACAAAATAGTAAATAGGATAAAAATACCATTTCCCTTAGCAGTGATGATGTCAGTACCTAAAAGTACTTTTCTGTCATTGTTGTAAACATCTAGTTAGTTGAATCCATATCTCTTTATAGCTGTGAGTTGGTGGGGGGGGAGGGGCAGGAGAGGGGTTAATTATATTTTTGAATCAGAGAAAGAATTTTTCCATTCCTTTCCCATAACAGTCTAAAAAGATCTGAATGGACACATCCCGGGCCTCAAAAGGAAATCCTCAAAATAATTACTATAGATGTCTGCAAAAACGAGAACAACCTACCACTTGATTTCAAGCTAACTATAGATGAGACAATATTTTTTCCAGTTCCAGCAAGTCAGTCATTTCTAGCACTGTAGCTGAACTGGCATTTTTCTAAAGTAGTAAGAAAGTCAGATCACCTAGAACCAGCTTGTATATTGATTTCAGAAATTCAGTTCCTCCATACCATTATAATTTTTTATCTTGTAAGTACTTCCACCTTGGAAAACATACAGAAATGTCTACCAGCAGATCTACCATTTACTCCCCTATGATCTTGTTTCATTATTCATCATTCAACATAAAAGTATTTTCCCATAACATTCACTGATAACACACATAAAGTCATCTATGAAGCAACAAGGAAATTCTCCAAAGTTCAGTGACCTCAACACATACAACCCTATGGAAATAAAGTTTTCATATTACTATGAAACAGCAGTAGTTCCAGATTGCATAAACTAAGGCTCTTCATGATTTCCAAATCATTCGCAAATATTAAGAGGCTAAACATGGACATTAACATAATACTGGGGGGGGGGGCGGGGAAGGAATCCCAACAAAATCTTATTTTATTCTGCGAGCTCAATTCATCCATTGGATATGTGTTTCTGATTCCCACTGAAGAGAAACTCAATTTGCCCACCTGAGGACAGAATCTAGCCTATATCCAGGTCACCCTTTTCTATTCAAAGGTAAAATTCTCATCTCAGATACACACTACTAAAGGTCAGAGAATTAGAACTACAACTAAATGAGGCAGGCAGTACAAATAATTATTTCCCATTTTTTAAATTCCCTGGTGCTTGCTTTCCAAGGGAAATGTATTATCATGATTAACCCAGATATACATCTGTATTTATATCAATTGGTTTGCATTCATGGACTAAGTGACAGTTACATGCACCTGCAGTAAGTCATCACCTAAAAAGTAAATTTATATTGTCATTAAAATGGTATTCAGTTCATAGAAACATAAGAAACAGAGGAATTGTGAGCATTTGCTAAACAATAAATCTCAATTATTATTACAGAAAGCCAAGTTTCCAACATAGTTAATTTTCATCCAAAAATTTCCATATATGGCAGAAGGTGTCACAGAATCTTTTGGATTGCATTTCCAGTCTTGCTGTAGCTCCTAATTCATTCACCAGAGATGCAAGGCTTCCATAAAAAGAGGAGATGAGCCATCTACAGATTCCTCTTTTTGTAGGGCAGGGGTGGGCAAAATGTGGCCCATGGGCCAGTAGTGGCCTGCCAGGTTATTCTATCCGGCCTGCGGGGCCCCTAAAAAATTTAGAAAATTAATATTTATCTGCCTCTGGCTGCCTGATGTGGTCCTCAATGGCTTGCCAAAACTCAGTAAGCGGCCCTCCACCTGAAATAATTGCTCACCCCTGTTGTAGGGGAACAGAGTGGGCCTAATGGCTCTCCATCATTTGTGATCCCTCAATCTCAATCGTAGAGGGAATTCCTGGGTGAAAGTCTATGTGGCTGGGCCCTTGTGATAACTGACTGCCCAAACTGCCTGTTGGGACTGTAGGCATCCTGGCACAATTCAGAGCAGCCTTAAGGCTGCTATACTTACATGAGTCTAGGGTAGCTCTAGAATCAGAAGAGAGTAAGACTGGCTTTAAAAGCATCTTTGGTCTACTCCCCATTTACTTTGGCCCTATGCTGAATAATATTTGACTAATCCAGAGAATGTGACTTATTAATGTTTAGTTGCTATGAATTCAAGGAACAACCCCACAGCTCCCAGTTGTACCTTTTGAAAGGCTTCAAGTGCCCAAAGTTACTGATGAAATCTATGTTGAAACTGACCCATATTAGTCCTGGTTTTCATTGCATGATAGAACATAATAACATAACGAGTACAATATCATTACTTGCATACTTTAGGGGCTCTCAAATCAATTGCCATTCTTTTGAAGGCAGCTAAACAGAGTACCTCAAACCAAAGAAATATTTGTGTCAGGTAGGTTTTTCCTGTCCTCTCCTCTTGCCTTCCTTGTCTATGTTGCAAACTCAAAATCTGGAAGATAGCCCAGTGGTGAGATACACTGAGTTTTACCTCTGTCAGAAAAGTTTAAATTTGGAACTGACTTTCAAGCCCTGAAGATTCCTTAACTTTCCTTCTTTTTTTTTTTTAATATCAAGAAACATAACATTAACAGTCTTGCATCTTATGTCTTTTGAAACACCAGCAGCCTGAGGAGCGAATTTCCCTAGTAAAGGAACAAACAACTGAAAAATAAATAGACTCAATTCTTGTTTACCCTGCTGAGTGTGTATTAATTTATATTTGTGCAGAGTGGGTATCACAGGATTCCCGAAAATACAACAGTTTTGCACCAACTTTGTGGTTGGTAGGCAAAGGAAATAATCATACAAAGTGCAGGGGTGGTAGAGAATCAGGCCTAATGTGCTTAGCACTGACTAATCCAGGTTTCTCTCTGGTAAGCAATCAAAAGGAAGTGCTGTCCAGTACATCACATGCCAAAAGGCTGAGTGATGCTTCATGTTCAGTAAATGAACTGAGAGTCTGAGTTGATGCTATAAGTTGACTATACGTGACATCTCGAGCAGGTCCAAGGAGGTGATCCTCCCCCTCTATGCGGCACTGGTTAGGCCGCAGTTGGAGTACTGCGTCCAGTTCCGGGCGCCACACTTTAAGAGGGATGTGGACAGCATCGAGAGGGTCCAGAGGAGGGCCACTCGTATGATCAAGGGACAGCAGGGTAGGTCCT